TCCACCCGTCTTGTGCTTTAGGGGGATTGGCTCAGTCCCCCGCTTGGTCCAAGACTGGGGTGGGGCAACCCAGTTTGTGAGCTGCCTGAGGTGTTTAAGAGCCTTAGCATTTCACGTACTCTGGTCATTAAATTCCAGTAACAACCTCCGGAGGCTGTGCCGGCTCCAGACCCCCTGTTCACTCACACCTCCCCTAACCCCCTGGAGGACTGAATGCCCCAGATAAGAACCCTTTGTCGGAGCCAATCCTGTGTGTGTGTGTGGGGGGGGGGGGGGGACAGATCAAGTCCTTTCTCCCTTCCAGTGATTGGGTTAGGCATGGTCATGTGATTTCAGCCTGGCTAGCCAACTCCGAGGGGCTTTTGGGCAAGAAGTCCTAGCTTCAGAGGAAGGATCAGGAAGAGATGGTCTTTTGTATGCCTGGACATTGTGTCTGGATAGAATGACTCCAACAGCCACAGCCTGCTATAAGTCTATGATACATTGTTAACCAAAAGTCACATTCACACATTTATTCATTGGATAATATTATCTGAGCTCTGGGTGCTGTATTAGATGCTTAGGATACAAGGGTAAGAAGCATGAGAAACGTGAATAGAACAGAGCCTAACAGGCACTATGGTCACTGAAAGTTGCCAGAGATGAGGGAAGAACCATGGGATGGTGATGGGAATAATGCACCGCGGACACTTTTCTCTGTGTGGTCAGAGAAGGTCTGAGGAGGAAGCCTCTGAGCTGAATACTTAAATAAGGGAGGCGCATGATGTACAAAGAATGGGGGGAGAATAGTTCAGATGGAGAACCAGCAGAGGCTGAGGTCCTGAGGTAGCAAAAAATGGATTTATTTGAGAAATGTAAAGAAGACCAGAGTCTGGAAAGTGAAGGTTTTATACTGGAGGCATCACTTTTATCTCTGTATGGAGAATGGGTTGGAGGAGGACAAATGTGGCAGTAGGGACACAGGTGAGAGAGCTGTGGGAGAAATCCAGGTGAGAGATGATGGGGAGTATGTTACAGGATGACATGGTAGTGGAGAAATGAGGGCAAGTGGGGGGTATGTTTTTGTTTTCCTTTTTGTTTTTCATTTAAATTCAATTAGCCAGGACACCTGGGTGGCTCAGTTGGTTAAGCATCTGCCCTTAGCAATGGTCATGATCCCAGGGTCCTGGGTTGGAGCCCCACAACAGGCTCCCTGCTCAGCCGGGAGCCTGCTTCTCCCTCCCCCTTTGCTGTTCCCCCTGCATGTGTTCTCTTGCTCTGTCAAGTGAATAAATAAAAATCTTTTAAAAAATTCAGTTAGCCCACATATAATACATCATTAGTTGCAGATATAGAATTCAGTAATTCATCAGTTGCAGGTAACAGGGGGTATGTTTTAGAGAGTGAGAAGATTCATTGATGGACTAGATACTTGGAGAGAGAGAAGGGGGGCAATCATGAGTCACTTATGACTCTAGTAACATAGGAGCCATTTACTTAGATCAGGATGGCCCAGGTGGTGGAATATGGGCAAAGGGGAGTTATTCTAACACCAACCAGTATTTGCAATTCGGTCCTGGCACTAAACACCCAGACTCTGCAAGTTTAAGGGCACTTCCCCAACAGGCTGCTCTTACCTCAGTTGCCAGGTGTGCTTCAGGGGTCCCCAGGTCAGCTGCATTTCTGACCAACTGACTACAAATTTGGGAGTTTCTGTGACTCCCTTAGGTTTAATAATTTGCGGCAATGACTCACATGATGGGGCTTTCTGGTGACCAACTCCCATCTTGAACTGGCTTAATAGCAAAAAGTCAGATGTGATCAAGGGGCACGAATAATAAACACACTCCTATTGCTTGGGAAATTCTGAGGATTTTCAAAGCTCTATGCCAGAAACCCAGAACAAAAACTAGACAAATTCTTTATTATACAACAGGGGTGGAACTTCTGAGTTCCACTTAAAATCTATTTACTTTGTGATGTCTGTGATTCATGGAAATGGAGATGTGAAGAAGGTATTTGGAAGCACAAACTCACAGGACATGTCTGGAATGGAAATGAAAGTGTGAGAGATGGTAGCATGAAGACGGGGAGGAAAGTCAGGGAGCACAGGGCCAATGGCTGAGCCCTGAAGGATTGTCACATACAAGTGTAGTGGAGGAAGGCAGGGAAAGGAGGGAACCTCCGGTGAGAGTGGCAATTGAAAAGCCCGAGGAGAACATGTGCAGGGCGGAGGAAGCCCCCAGAAGAAGGAGATGCTTCTGCCTCTGATGTTGACCTTTTTGGGTTCAATAAATGTAAAAAAAGAACAGAGCCTAACAGGCACTAGGGTCACTGAAAGGTGTTTTGGTATGTTTTTATTTATTATTATTATTTTTTGGTATGTTTTTAAAACCATTTATTATGTATATATTTAAGAATTTATTTTTATTTATTTTTTTTAAATATTTCATTTATTTATTCATCAGAGAGAGAGAGAGAGAGAGAGAAGAGAAAGAGAGAGGCAGAGAGACAAGCAGAGGGAGAAACCAGCTCCATGCCAGGAGCCCAACATGGGACTCAATCCCGGGTCTCCAGGATCATGCCCTGGGCTGAAGGCAGCGCTAAACCACTGAGCCACCAGGGCTACCCTATTTAAGAATTTATTTTTAAGTAATCTCTACTCCCAAAATGGGCTCAGACTCACAACCCCGAGATCAGGAGTCACATGCTCCTCCCACTGAGCCAGCCAGGGACCCCTAAAAACCTTATATTTTGAAATAATTTCCAACTTTCAGAAAAGTAAACATGCTTCCATTACAAGTTGTCATTTTACTTCATTTGCTTTATCACTCTCTCTTTATTTCCTCTGTATATATTATTTTTCTTCAAATCATTTGAGAGTAAATTGCAGATATGTGCCCTTACCTTTAAATACTTCGGTGTGTATTTTCTGTAAACAAGGATATTCTCTTACACACAAATCAGTAAGTTAGTATTGATTGAATGTCATTATCAAATCCAGCAGCTCTCAAAGTGTTCCTTGAGAGGACCCATGATTTCCAACTATTTTTATAATAATATATAGACAGTATTTGCCTTTTTCACTTTTACTCCACCAGGAGGGTACAATGGGGGTTTCTAGAGATTCCATGGTGTATAATGACCTCATTGCTCTAATGTCAACATATAATGAATTCCTTATTGTCGTTTTTAAATGTTTTATAAGTCAATATTTAACAATTTTCTTAGTTGTAATTTCTAATACAGCAAATCTCTTTAGAAATAACCTAGATAAGCGAAAGCTATTTGGGGTGTTCAATAATTTTTAAGAATGTAAGGGGACATTGAGATCAAAATGCTGATTTAATGTAAACAAATTCCTAACCTTAAGTTTTTCTCACTCTTAGGGTTGCTGGCTGGATCTGACAATTAAGCCGACAAAGATTAACAGGAGAAAAGTACACAAATTTATTTAGGTTTTACATGAAAATGAAGACTTGAAGAAACAGACCTGTGCATTATGCTATTTTTGATGATGAGTGAACTTCATGGAGGAATATAATAAGTCAAAGAGTGGGCAGCCCAGGTGGCTCAGTGGTTTAGCGCCTGCCTTCAGCCCAGGGTGTGATCCTGGAGACTTGGGATCGAGTCCTGCATCGGACTCCCTGCATGGGGCCTGCTTCTCCCTCTGCCTGTCTCTCATGGATAAATAAATATTTTTTAAGAAAGTTAATAGGTCAAGGACTTTGACATGAACATAGTACACTGGGGAAACAGCAATACCTGTTTGTTCTTGCCATCCCCTTGTCTTTGCAGATCTCGGTGTGTAGGGGAAGGCAGTTCTCACTCAAGGGCTTATGACTTGTTTTAAGGGAAAAGGGTGGGGGGAAGTTCAGAGTGACTTTCCTGATCCTCTGCCTTCTCAGGCTCCCTTAGGTTACAGTATTCAAGATGCCAAGGTGCCATATTTTGGGGTAGCGTGTTTTGAATGTCATCACTCCACATCTACTAATACTACGAGAGGGCTTTGAGAAAAAGGCACACTGAAGGCGCTTATTTATTTTGAAATTTTATTTATTTGAGAGAGAGAACATGAGAGAGAGGAGAGGCAGATGGGGAGGCAGACTCCCAGCTGGGCAGGGAACCCACGTAGGGCACTATCCCAGGATCCTGAGATGGGAACCTGAGCTGGGAAGATGCTTAACGGACTGAGCTAACCAGGCGGCCCCCCCGGCCCCGGAAAGAGGCTTATTTTTATCAGTGATAGTAATTCGTTAGGGTAATACTTGCATAGTCCTTTGCGGCTTTCGAATGATTTTTACACAATTTTACTTAAACCTCCTAACAACCCTGCGTGGGGGGAGCTGCTAAGTACTGTATCAGAGGAATAAGAATCACCGACTCATAGATCTCTGCTCTATCATGGCATGGTTGAATCATACGAATCCTTGCATACCGTAGTTAAATGACTATTTTTTAAATTTTTTTTTAAATGTCTTATTTATTTATTCATGAGAGACAGAGAGAGAGAGAGATGCAGAGACACAGGCAGAGGGAGAAGCAGGCTCCCTGCAGGGAGCCGGGTGCGGGACTCGATCCCAGGACCCGGGATCACGACCTGAGCTAAAGGCAGACGCTCAACTGCTGAACCGCCTGGTGCACTTAAATGGCTATTTCAGGCAGCAGATGCTGTTCTGCCTGTTTCTGAGAAGCCCCTGAGGCAGGAAACAAGGGAAAAGGAACTTGGGAAGCACGGGAACAGAGGCGCCGAAGGGTGGGAGGAGGACGACAGGGTTAGGATTCAGGACAAAGCTGGGATTTAGGGATGATTGGCTCCTACATCGGGGATGCGAGAAACATCTGGCCCAGAACCCGCGGTTGGGGCGCGATCTGGGTGGGGGTCTCGGTGCCTGCGGGGAGCGGGGCCCACCGGCGGCGGGGGCGGGGCCTACCCCGGGGGCGTGGCTGGAGGGCGTGGCCAACCGTGGGTGGGCGTGGCCGGCGTGGGCGCGCCGCCGCGAGCGGGGTCCGTCGGGGCTGCCGCCGCGCTTCCCGGTGTCACCCGCAGAGGGCGCCGGCCGCCACGCCGCGCGCAGAGTCGCGAGGCCGGAAGAGCGCGGCGCCGCCCGACTCGCCGCAGCCGCCGCCATGAAAGCCGTGGTGCAGCGCGTCACCCGGGCCAGCGTCACAGGTCAGTCGGGCGGGGCCGGGCGGGGCCGGGCCGGGCCGGGCCGGGCCGGGAGGAGCCACCCCTGACCCCGCGCCCGCAGTCCGCTCCCGCCGTCCCCGCCGCCCCCGGAGGGTGCCCGGCGCCGTCCCCGGCGGGCGCGGCCCCCGCAGCCCTGAGGCCCCGGGCGGGCTCCGGGTGCCCCGGGGTCCCGGCCGAGGGTCCTGCCCGGGCCTCGGTCAGCGCGCCTCTTTATTGTCTTTTTTCTTTCTCTGGTCCCGGGTACCGGGAGGCGGAACCTCCGAGCATCCCCGTGGCCGTCCTCAGGTGGAATGTGGCGCAGACAGCACGCAGGCGGCATTTCCGGAGCGTTTCGTTTTAGATTTCCCGTCTTCGCCCATTGTCTGCGTGCCCGCTTGTCACGGAGCCGCACTGCCAATAAAATGCACAGATCTGAAGAGTTGCGCCCCCCACGTGCCCGGCGCCCGGCCCGGCCCGGCCCGGCCCGGCCCGGCCCAGCCCGCGAGGACCCCTGCCCCGCCCCGCCCCCCCCGCCCCGCCCGCCGGCCGCTCGGGTCCTGCGGGGACGCGCCGGCGCCCCAAGAATTCCGGGGAAACATCTCCCTTTGGCCCGGTTCCTGCGGGCCAAGCCCTCCACAGTCACGGAGCCGCTGCCGGGCCACTGTAGTCTGGTTCGAACCTCAGGGATCCAGATGGTTGATGTGTACGAGGCGGTCGTTTCAAGAAGTCAGACCGAGATAAGTCAAAAAAATTTTTCGATGACTGATCTTAGATTTGTCTTCTAGTCTTTTTTTCCCCTCCTTTCTCAGAATTGTAGTGTTGTCTCTGTCCAAGTAATTCCAGATACCCTTCTCTTGAGCCAGGCTACACCAAGTATGTGTTCTGGCGTCCACAAAAGTATAGATCTAAAAACAAAGCAACAAGATCCCCTAAAGAAACGACCACACCCAGCAAAGCCGTATATTAGATCAGAGAGTCTACTCTTCAGCTCTGCCTAATGATGTCTGAGCTGTTTTGTTAACTGGTTTTGGATATGGTCCTGGAGTAATAGGGAACAGAAGAGCTTTGGGACTTACGGGATTCTAAAACAAAGGTTTTTTGGCCTTTCAGTTAATATTTAAGTTAATTAAAACCGAGGAAATTCATAGAGGTAAAGGTTTTTTGCGTTTTTGAGCGAAATCACGTTTCGCTCTATGTGGTCATCACCAACCGCAAGTGAACTTTGAGGGATTTAACTTCTAATCTTCTGTCGAACTCTTTATTCTGATGATTTGGGATCTTGAGGACACGTATTTTGTGAGATTTGCTGAATAGTTTGAGTGATTTTAGTTTACTATTTAAATACTATTTAAATTGTGTGCTTTTAGTTAAAAACCAGCAAACAAACCTGCATATTAAAAAAGATAAGGGTATTTAGAAAAAGATAAGGGTATTAATTGTGGGAAGGTATCAAATAAAATGGAATTCTCTCTCAGTGCTGGAGGGACTTTCACATTAGCCAGGCCTTCTAATTGAACTGTAATGGAAAGGTTTTCTGACTCTTTTAGAATGTGACTGGCTTCACTGAAATGTGGCCGTACATGAATGGCATTTTATTACAGGGATTCTAAGATGCCACTTTCGATTTTATGGTTGGGACAGAGTACAATATCAGGAGTCATATTTTATTATGTGGCAGACGCACTTAATGAGATTGGTCAGGCACATTTTGATGCTTTGGCATGGCTATTGTGATAATCTAATTTTAAAAGCTTCATTATGGGACATTTCAAACATATTCTTTTTTTTTTTTTTTAAAGATTTTATTTATTTATTCATGACACACACACACAGAGGCAGAGACACAGGCAGAGAGAGAAACAGGCTCCATGCAGGGAGCCTGACGTGGGACTCGATCCCGGGTCTCCAGGATCGCGCCCTGGGCTGAAGGCGGGCGCTAAACCGCTGCGCCACCCAGGGATCCCCTCAGACATATTCATTTAGTTACACAGGCGGCACGGTGTGGTAATTCCCATGTCCCATCACTCAGCTTCAACAGCTTAAATCTGAATAGAATCACAGAATGTTGGGAAGAGGATCTAAAGTGGGTTTGAATGAGTTAATTTCAGAGATTATGAATTCTTGAAGAAGTCAGTGGTGGGCACCTGGGTGGCTCAGTGGTTGAGCGGCCTCCTTTGGCCCAGGGCGTGGTTCTGGAGACCTGGAATCGAGTCCGGTAACAGGCTCCCTGCGTGGAGCCTGCTTCTCCCTCTGCCTCTGTGTGTGTCTCTCTCTGTGTCTCTCATGAATAAATAAATAAAATATTAAAAAAAAAAAAGAAAAAGAAGAGGCCAGTGGTGATGATGGTATACACGGGAAATTGACCAAATATCTCAGGTCTTTTCTAGCCCTGTGATCTGTTGTCTAAAATGGCGATTCTCAAGTTTTTTCCCTTCGGAATCCATTTGTCTGTAATAAAAGATCCCTTTGGACCTCCTGGTTCTTATACTTGTACCTGGAGGTGGAGAGCAAAACTATTCCAAAATAAGAGAGCAAACTCACATATAGGCTTTGGGGCATAATTTGTTTCTTATTAAGACAAGTAATACATTATAAAAATGTTGAAACTAGGGATCCCTGGGTGGCGCAGCGGTTTGGCGCCTGCCTTTGGCCCAGGGCGCAACCCTGGAGACCCGGGATCGAATCCCACGTCGGGCTCCCGGTGCATGGAGCCTGCTTCTCCCTCTGCCTGTGTCTCTGCCTCTCTCTCTCTCTATCTGTGTGTGACTATCATAAATAAACAAAAATTTAAAAAAAAATGTTGAAACTGTTCAATTTTTTTTTTTTTAAGATTTCTTTGAGAGAGAGCTTGAGCAGGGGGAGGGGCAGAGGGAGTGGGAGAAGGAGGCTCCCTGATGCACAGGGAGAGCCCCCTGCCAGGCTTGATCCCAGGACCTTGGAACCATGACCTGAGGCCAAGGCAGATGCTTAACTGACTGAGCCACCCAGGCGTCCCCCTTTTTAAAAATATATATTTTTAAAAGATTTTACTTACTCGAAAGAGAGAACACACAAGAGAGTGGCAGAGGGAAAGCATGAAACTCTTCAGATAGTGATTTGAATCACTTTGAATAGTGATTCTTTTTTTAGAATCTGTTCTGAGAATACTAACTGTAGGAAAAGATTTGGAGGGATGAATAGGCAGAGCAAGGAGGATTCTAAGAGCAGTGAAACTACTCTGTAGGATACTGTCATGGTGGGTACATGTTATTGTATATTTGTCCAAATCTATAGAATGTACAACATCAAGAGTGAACCCTAATGTAAACTATGGACTTAGAGTGGTAATGATGTGTCATTGTAGGTTCATCAGTTGTAAAAAAATGTACCCCTGTGGTGGAGAAGCTATGCATTTATGGGGGCAGTGAGTTATAGTACCCCCTTTTTCTTTTTTTTTAGAGAGAGGAGGTGGAGCAGAGGCATAGAGAGAATCTTAAGCAGGCTCCACACCCAGTACAGAGCCCAATGCGGGGCTCCATCTCCTGACCCTGAGATCATGGCTTGAGTGGAAATCAAGAATAGGACACTTAACCGACTGAGCCACCGGGTGTCCTGAATCTCTGTATCTTTGCTCAATTCTGCTGTGAACCTAAAAATGCTCAAAAATGAAAGTCTAATGTGTAGTATATAAAGATTTTCCCCACAGTGTTATTTATTGAAGTGAGAATTTTGAAACAAACCGTATATCTAGCCAAATGGGATGATTAGTTGGTGCATTGGATAGAAGTAACTATTCAACTTGATGAGATGTGACTATGAAAAGATGTTTAGGAAAAGCTTATAACATGAAAAATCCTTATACACTGTTAAGAGAAAAGATGAGACACAAAAATTTATATACAGTGTTATTATAGTAATTGAAAACAAATATGAAAACCTGTGGATAGAGAAAATATCAAAAGGAAGTCATTAAAATATTAAAGTACTCGTCTTTGGATGTTCTTTTTTTCTTCCTGTTTCTTATATTTTCCAAATTTTCTGTGATGTGTATGCATTAATTTAATGGTGGGTATAATTCGATAACCATTATTTTTAAGCTTTTAAAACATACTGTGGGGAAAATTTAAGAAAATAATATTGATCTTGTAAGAAAACAATACTGATATATTTAAAGAACAAATGAAGCCAGCTTTTTCTAAGGTGACACAAACAAGCCAACCACCCAATTGTTTACTGCTTATTTCAGATTAGATTCTTTCTGTTTCAGCTTCTGAGTCATTGGCACAAAGGACAGTAATCACTTATAGTCCATTATAAGCAAAACAGCACAGAAGAAAATAGTTCTTAGCATAAAAAGAAGAGAAATTAGGCTTTATTGGTATTTGGGTTGGAATGGGTTGGTGCTGACACTCCTTGGCGACTGCAGGTCAGGTGGTCCCTTGTCAGAGGAGGTTTTCATTCTTTTCTTAGCTCGCAGGATATGACAACATGTTCCAATCCATGATGCCTTGTCAGATATATTTATAGATACTATTATCCAGCAGAGGCAAACTACAAGAAAATGACAGAGTCTGCCCTTTCCTGATTGGAACATTAGGTTAATAGATGGTAAAATAACAAGACGTCAGTAATCTAATGAGATTTGACAAAAAGTTGGCCAAAAATTTTGAAAGTTAGGAGATTAACATTTGAAATATGGATTTCGATTCACCATCATGATGACAGATCTTGGCCTAAGAACTGTGCCAGCACTGAGATACTGCCTAATGGTAGTAGAGTGTACATTTGATTATAAATACACACACAAATATTTGGAATATATATATTTAAAGATTTAGTTTTTGTGGATGAGATGCATGATTAAGAGGGATTTGGAGGTCATTGACTTAGAATACAAATTAATAGATGTTTACTGACTTGAAGCCTTTTATTTACTTAATTATTTTTCAATTTTAAAAGATTTATTTATTTATTTTAGAGAAGGAGGAGAGGGGGCAGAGGAGGAGGGAGAGAGAGAGAGAGTCTTAAGCAGACTCCATGCAGAGCATGCAGCCCAATTTGGGGGTTGATCCCATGACTCCAAGATCAAGACTCTGAGCCAAAACCAAGAGTCAGATGCTCAAGAGAGCCATGCAGGCACCCTGAAGCTTAACTTGCATTTATTTATTTATTTATTTATTTATTTATTTATTTATTTATTTATTTATTTATTTATTTATTTTCGAAGCTTAACTTTTAAATAGTGGTTTTTATGTATAACGTTTATCTTCTTGGAGTAAGTAGAAAAATTATTTCTTTATTTTTCTTACATAAATATTTATTGTGGGATCTGTATATTGTGTTACCAAAGTTGCTGATTCCCAAGGAAAGCAGGCATTTCCTTTCTGAGAATTAATACAGCGGAATTGTATTCTTTGGGGAGGAAAACTCTGTTCTGTTTTTACAGATGAGCATGGAAAGTTTGAGGTGTCTTACCCAAGGTAACACAGATGAAAATGTGGCCCTAAAATTTGGCTTAATGGTTGTTCACTTAACAAGTCATTCATTCCATGGGGTGTCTGGGTGGCTCAGTGGTTGAGTGTCTGCCTTTGGCTCGGGTTGTGATCCCAGGAACCGGGGATTGAGTCCCACATTGGGCTCCCTGTGGGAAGGCTACTTCTCCCTCTGCCTGTGTGTCTCTGCCTTTCTCTGTGTCTCTCATGAATAAATAAATAAAATCTTAAAAAAACCCTAAGTCATTCATTCCAGATATAAAATCAGGATGGACATAAATCTTGATAGGTTTACTGCATTTATGAAACTTTTTTTTTTGAAGATTTATTTATGTATGACAGACATAGAGACAGAGAGAGGCAGAGACACAGGAGGAGGGAGAAGCAGGCCCATGCCGGGAGCCTGATGTGGGACTCCATCCCAGGACTCCAGGATCGCGCCCTGGGCCAAAGGCAGACGCTAAACCGCTGAGCCACCCAGGGATCCCCTATGAAACTTTTTAAAAAAGATTTTATTTAATTATTCATAGGAGATACAGAGAGAGAGGCAGAGACATAGGCAGAGGGAGAAACAGGCTCCATGCAGGGAACCCGATGTGGGACTCCATCCCGGGACTCTGGGATCACGCCCTGAGCCAAAGGCAGACGCTCAACCGCGGAGCCACCCAGGCATCCCTGAAACTCATTTTTAAATACCTACTGACTTTGCCAAAGTAATTATAAGAAGTACATGTGATTTTTAAACATTCCTGTGGTTACTTAAGAGCGTGTCATGGTACCTGTTTGGTTCTGAGTCTCTTTTCACTTTTGTTTCCTTTCTAGTTGGAGGAGAGCAAATAAGTGCTATTGGACGGGGCATCTGTGTGTTGCTGGGTATTTCTCTGGAAGATACACAGAAGGAACTGGAACACATGTACGAGGCGGATTTCTAGGTCATTGCTATTTGAATGGGATATGTAGTGGTATAGATATATACCTGTAGATATCTATATCTGTATATTTCTGTCTGCTTACCTACCTATCTAAACTCTATATGTATATATGGGGTGCCTGGGTGGTGCAGTCAGTTAAATAACCGACTCTTGGTTTCAACTCAGGTCATGATCTCCATGTTGTGAGATTGAGCCCTGAATTGGGCTCCGTGCTCAGTGTGGAGTCTGCTTTAGATTCTTTCTTCTTCTCCCCCTTCTGCTCATGCTCTCTCTCTCTCAAATAAAAAAAAAAATAAATCTTTAAAAAAGTTGCGTATATATGTACACTGGGAACTTCCATAGTATTTTGGTCCTGTGAAGTAAGTTGCTGTGACTTTTATCTGTGTTGGATTTGATGTAATATGGCTATCTCCATGTTCCTTTCCTTTCCTTTCCTTTCCTTTCCTTTCCTTTCCTTTCCTTTCCTTTCCTTTCCTTTCCTTTCCTTTTCTTTTCTTTTTTTTTTTTTTTTTTAAGATTTCATTTATTTATTCACGAGAGACACAGAGAGAGGCAGAGACACAGGCAGAGGGAGAAGCAGGCTCTTGCAGGGAGCCCGATGTGGGACTCAGTCTCAGGACCCCGGATCATGACCTGAGCCAAAGGCAGATGCTCAACCACTGAGCCACCCAGGTGCCCCTGTCTCCGTGTTTCAGATGAGGAGACCAAGGAAGTGTAATCTGTCCAGTGACACCCTGCTACATTAGCAGCAGAGCTGGAACTCAAAAGCCTCAGTTCCTATTTGGTCCTTTATCCATGAACCATTCTCATAATGTAGAACCAAACTTTTTTTCTTATGAGTGTTTTCTGTTTCCAATTAGAGCAGTATGATCTGGGCACTATTTATGTCTTTAAAAAAATGTTCAGTTGTTCATTGGATGCATAGGATCTGGAGGTCAGAGAGTTAAATGACTTGCCTAAGATCATGAACGTGTATATAGTAAAAAGCCTGAATTCAAATTAGAATCTAGACTACATGACTTGAAAGCTGGTGCTCTTTCTATGGTAGGGGAGTTTGCCATTGCTTTCTCCTGACTGGCTCTCAGCACAGGCAGCCTCACCTGTCCCCATACTTACTCTGCCCCTGCCCCCAGCACCACTTGGCACATTTGCTTTAGACTTGTGACCTGTGGATTCTGCCTGTTGAGGCCCATACCTGGGTGTAATTCCATCCGATTGTCCCTTTTGTAGTCGGTTGAAAATCAGATTTGGAACCTAATTCCTTCTAAGGAATAAATGTTCTCTGCTTCTCTTCCTTGTCACAGTGGCTGCTCTTTGTCATCCACATTTATAAGGAGGCCCTCCTAGGGCTTAAGAGGCATGGGACATAGTTGTCAGGGAGGCTTTTGCCAGGTCTTTTTGCATATTTGCAATAAGCATGAGTTTTCTCTAGGGTGTTTGCCCACTTCTTCATTTTGAGTAGTTCCAAGAAAGGATGTTAAAGTGAGATATCATTTATTTCAGTGTAAAGATTGAATTTTTCAATTAAACAAATTGAATCCACGTCTTGACATATCCACCAACCTGAAGGAGCAGTTGGTGGATGGTTGTTCTTAGCTCAGGTTTGCATGGGTAGCTGCTTGTGAATTGGAGGAACTGGCCAAAAAAAAATAAAAAATAAAAAATAAAAAATAAAAAAAAGGAATCCTAAAACAACCCTGTGAAGTAAGTCTGTTACTACCTCATATTACAGATGAGGAAACTGAGGCATAGAGTGGATAAATAACTTGCCCAAGGCCCAAGTAACTTCCTTCTTCTGTATATATATGTAATACACATAACATTATGTCAACATTATGTCCTTGTTTGACAGGATGCTGGTAACACTTGGGGGTATGGAGAATGTTGGGGGGCTTATGATTCTTCAGATAGCTCTTGTCACTGTTTTCTCCCTCAGGGTCAGAAAGATTTTAAACCTGCGCGTGTTTGAGGATGAAAGTGGGAAGCACTGGTCGAAGAGTGTGATGGACAAACAGTATGAGGTGCTGTGCATCAGCCAGTTCACGCTCCAGTGTGTCCTCAAGGGGAACAAGCCTGACTTCCACCTGGCAATGCCCACGGAGCAGGCGGAGAGTTTCTACAACAGCTTCCTGGAGCAGCTGCGGAAGACATACAGGCCGGAGCTCATCAAAGGTAGGCAGGAGGGCGAGCCCACCCAAGAAGAGAGTCTCTGGACACTTAGAGCTGGAGGAAAAGAGAATCTGCAATTACAGCTACTCCTTTTCCAGAAAGTTTGTTGTTTGTGCTTATTACTTCCTTCAAACAGCATAGCTAGTGCTGTGGTACGAGTCATCTGAATGCTCCTGATCCTGTTTACCCTTCTTTAGTCTTCTGTTCACATGTGGAATGTTTACCATCCCGGAAGTGTGTTTGATAACAGTGGTGTTTCATTTTGTTTGCTTATCATGTCTGACAGGGAATATAATGCAAACCACAAGTGTGAGCCACATGCCATTTTAAATTCCTAGTAGGCATATTAAAAAAGAAGTAAAAAGAAACAAGTGAAATTAATTTAAAAATATATTTTACTTAACCTAATATATCCAAAATAGTATGATTTCACCTCATAATCAATATAAAAAGTTGATTGATAGAATTTTCATTCCTTTTTTGGTGCTAAAGTTTTCTAAATCTTGGTGTGTAGTTTATACATACAGCCCATCTCAATTTTGACCCGGCACATTTCAAGTACCCGACACCTGTGTGTGCTTAATGGCTGTCATATTGGACAGTGAAGGTTTAGGTCTTTGACGAACTGCTTATTGGTGAGAATGCCAACTTGCTTTGACTGACTGAGATTTAGTCTAGAAAATGCCTTGGAATAGTGATCCTGGTTTATAGAAGAATTAGGAATCTGAAATTATGAATCTGTTTAAGGTGGCCATTCATTTCTATTCTGTTTTTATGTTTCTGAGGGCCATTAAAAACCATCACATTCTGCCTTTCTCTTCAAAGTTATTAGAATATTTAGCCTCCTTTGGTAATACATCTCAGTGTATGTAGTGTAAGTAGAATGTCTTAGTATCTGCAGTTTCTTTTGCTGCCATCATTCCCTTTTGTAGACATCTAAGAGTTGTTAATAGTTAACTCTGTATTATTTCCTGTACTTTGACTTTCTCTGAAGAAACAAAACTTGATCCCTTGTTTCTTGGACCCATTTTCAACCTTAAGGAATAGAGTTTATTGCCTGATTTTGAAGGTCTACAGTAAAGCCCCACATTGAGGATGGTCAGCTCATCAGATTCACTTCTGTTTAGAAGAGTCATATTCTTATCCTTCTTCAGCATTTCCTTTGATCTTAATTCTCCTCTTACCTGTTGCCATGATCAGGACACCCCTGCCTTAAATTAAATCCCAATCTTTACTTGGGTCCTGGTAGAGTAGAATGGATTGCCTCTTCTGGAAATAATCCCAAGTTTTAGAGCTCCATTCACAAGTCTGGTTATAGATGTCTCCAGTACTTTTTCCCACCCTGTGTCCCCTGGGATCCTTCAGCATGGCTTTGCTGCAAACGTGTTTCTTCCTAGAATTAGCATTTAAGTCAGGTCCTCTGAATAATTATTTTTCTGTGCTGAGCTGAGAATTAAATGCTGTCATCATTGTCTTCTCTGCTTGATGTTTGTAGAATCATCCCATTTTTGAGTAATCTCAAATATTTTAGAATGTACTGAAGCCCCTTGAAAGGATGAGCACAAGGAATATCATAAAAGCATAAGTGAAGGCACTTGAAATGGGAGAACACTAGTGGTTGTTAAGGTATGCTCAAGTGAAAACAAAACAGCTTTCATCTGAGTCCTTAAAGAGGAGTGTTTTGTGTTTTATTAGGTGTTTTGTGTTCCTTTTACTTTTTGCAATGATGTCTATTTTATCCGGATAATTCTGTTAAGTGCCTGAAGCAGTGTACTATTAGCAATATAATTTTATAATGGTTGACAATTTAAGTTTGTGGGGGATATGATACATCTGATCATTTTGATGAAAAATTGATGTGATTTATGCGAAGAGTCTTAATCAAAATTTATTTCCAAATCCTTTGGACTTTCAGAAACACTTAAGTGATACAAAGTGCCTCTCTTGCTCTTTCAGCTCTTTATCTCTTTTATGGTATTTGGTGGAATAAAATGCAGAGAGTATGTTTTACATGCTTGCTGTGTGTGTTCTTAATTTTGAGTTTTTAGCTTCCAGTTCCAATATGGAAAGCCCTCTGAGAGCTGAAGGGATGATGGAACACAAACCAACTGCTAATAAATACATTTTCTTAATTTTAGGATTCTTGGGGCCACTTTGGCAATTTTAAGACTTAAAGTAGTTTAATTTCCTTTTTGCAAAAAATTTAAAATATTTTTCCAGTTTTATTGAATACAGTTGACATGTAATACCCTATTAGAATTGTAAAACATGATGATTTGATACATGGGTATATTGTGAAATGATCACTAGTGTTACGTTCAGTTAGTTCATCACCTCACGTAGTTACAGTTTTACTTTTCTTGTGATGAGAACTTTTTAGATCTACTCTCCTAGCAACTTTGATATATGTGATACAGTATTGTTAACTTGTCACTGTGCCATACCTTATATCCCGGAATTTATTAATCTTAATAACTAGAAGTTTAAATCTTTTGGCCATCTTCATCCATTTCACCCGCCCTCTACCCCTGCCTCTGGCAACCACTAATCTATTACCTGTATCTCTGAGATTGGTGTTTTAGATTCTACACATGTGGGAGACTGTATAGTATTTGTCTTTCTCTGTCTGACTGAAAGCCCTTCCGATCCATCCATATTCTTGCAAATGACAGGATTTTCTTCTGTTTTTATGGCTGAATAGTATTCTGTTGTGTCTCCATATCACCTCTTCTTTATGGATTCATTTGTCAGTGGAGACTTAGGCTGCTTTTATGTCTTGGCTTTTGACTTAATTAGATTTAACATTTATTTTCACTCTCTTCCTCTTTAATGACTAGAACTCTACTTTAAATTAATGTATATAAATGAATTACATTATTTATATAAATAAATCAAATCATTTCTCTTCCTTGTTGTTAAGGATTGCGTAGCAGAAGATTGTCCAGTTTATTCCCTGTCTCTGTTACGTCCTTGCCCTGCCTAGTGCCCATGTGCTTTCAGGCTTTTCCTTACTAGTTCTAGTTCTTCCCCTGGGCATGGCCCAGCTCAGCTGTCTTTAGTGAAGCAGGTTTATTGCTTTATGATTGAAGCATGTGAAGGTACAATGAATTCGATTTCAGCTTGAACTGGATTCCCTCTGTCATCACTACTGGGACTGTTTTCTCTGAGATTCTCTGAGCCCTGGTTTCCCCCATGCATGTCAGCCATGTCCTCAGGTAGGCCATGATGGTTGCAGTCTTCACAGTTCACCATCCCAAGAAGGAGATTGAGCCTTTGTCTCTGCATTTCAAGCAGAAGTCCTGAAGGTTACTTTGATTGGGCCAGCTTAGTTAGTTAGCATGTCCATTCTTGAGCCAGTATGGGATCGACTCTATGACTCAGCTTAGGTCATACGTTTCATAGAGTGTAGAGTTGACCTCCTGGGGACCACCTGGAGCCACAGTTGAAGTCTGGGGCTGTTGGGAAGCGGGGTGGGTGGGAGATGCCTGCTAGGAGGGCTACTGGAAAGTCCCACTTGAGTGTCCTTGACTTGCTTTATTGATGGCCACTGGGAGCTGGGATTAATAGAGGGAGTTGGGCAGGTTATTAGGTGGTCCTAGCAGAACTCTGCCTTTCTGGCAGGGACATGGAGGGAGGCTGTCATAGATGTGTGTGCAGTTAATGAGGGAGGGCCCTGAGAGGGAGAAGTAAGTGGCATAATTCCCCTAATTGGCTCTTTGAGGCCTATTCCACCCCAAGTGGCCCTTGAGTTGGTACTTGAAACCATAGTGATCCACCATACCCACTTGACCAGAATTTTTAGCATCCTTGACCTGTTTGGGTATAGTCTGTTTGGTGTCCCCAGACATTGCTTAGGCCATGACACCCCTCCCCACTCTGGTCCAGTTCTGCTGGCCCCCTGACCCTTTGGCTTTGTGAGGGCATCTCCTCTTCTTAAGAACTTGCCTACCTTGGCTTATGCTTCTACTAGCTATTGCTGCAAAACATACCATCCCAAAACTTAGTGGCTTAAAGATAACCTTTCTAGGGGTGCCTGTGTGGCTCAGTTGGTTAAGTGGCTGCCTTTGGCTCAGGTCATGATTCCAGGGTCCTGGGATCAAGTCCCATGTCAGCCTTCCTGCTCAGCGGCGAGCTTGCTTCTCTCTCTCTCCCCTGCTTGTGCTCTCTCTTGCTTGTGCTCTCTCTTTCTCAGATAAATAATAAATAAAATCTTAAAAAACAACAAAAAAACAAAACCATTCTGTCTTCCTCACAATTTTGTGCGTCAGGAATCTAAGAGGGTTTGGTTGGGTGCTTGTCTCTGATCTATTTGTGTTGGCTGGGGCTAGGAATCTACTTCTAAGATGGCCCGTGTTTCATCTTGCTTCTCCCCTCCTCCCCACCTCATCTTATTCTCCAGGGTCAGTCTCCCCCTCCCAATTACTTGGGCTTCTCACAGCTGGGCGCTCTCAGGGTAGTTTGATTTCTAACTTGAGGCTGGCTTCTCCCACAGCAAACACTCCCAAGACCAGGTATTTTAAAAGCTAGGAAATGAGAGTGCTAGCCCCTCAAGGCCAGGCTTGGAAGGGAGTGCAGCATCACTTCTGCCATATGCTATTGGACAAAGCTGTCTCCCAGCCCACCCAGATTCCAGGGGAGGGCTGTAGACCACTTTGCAATGGAAAGAATTTCAGAGTTTATGGCCATCTTTAATACTGCATAGCTCTTAACTCTGGTGTTCTCAAAACGTTTTTTTTATTCTCTGACTCTTCTGCCAATAATTGATTTAGGAGGAAAAACCCAGTGTATACATTTATCAGTTTTTGCTCTCTGCTACAGAATGAGCCAGAGGTTAAGGGTACCTTATTGGACACCCAGACTGAGTGGGCCCAGGAGATTAGGTCCAGATATGGCCCTCAGCAGCCCCTTGGGAATCTTCATTCCTTCAGAAAAAGGACTGAAAGTCCTGTTTAGTGGGAGGCATTAAAAGCTGTCAAAGTGGAGTTTTAAACGTACAGTACCTT